AGTCCACCACTAACAGGAAGCTCCAACTACACATCTTGGTGCATCTCCATGAAAATTGCACTGTAGGTGAAGAATAAATGGTCTATTATTGATGGAAGCATCCTGCCACCGAATAGAGAACACGATCAATATCAAGCTTGGAGACGATGCAATCTACTGGTATGCTCATGGATCTTCAAGTCTGTCCACACATCCAGAGCACAAAGTGTCATGCACTTAGACAAGGCAACAAACGTCTGGGATGACCTGAAGAGAATATTTTCTCAGTGCGATGCTTAGAAGATTTTTGTTCTTCAAAACGAGATTTACAGTTTAAAGCAAAATTCGCTGTCAAAGTGATTACTATACAAAGTGCAAGACAATGTGGGAGGAGATGAATGCCTTAAGGCCTATTCCGATTTGTAAGTGCAATCCTCGATGCACCTGCGATCTCATTGACGGAATCAGGAAGGAACGCGACGTCGATCAGGTTATTCGCTTCCTACATAGTCTAAATGATGAATATGATAGCCTAAAATCTAACGTTCTTATACTTGATCCTCTGCCGGAAGTGTATAAGATTCATGTTATGGCTGAGAAATTGGAAAGACATATCAATAAGGCAAGCTTGAACATGAATGATATCGAAATTAACCATGCAAATGATATCTAGAACCTCCAGGATCCTACAGATGATTTGATCGGTGCGGTTAACACATATAATGTCAAGAGATATACAAACAATGGGGGCAACAAGGCTAAATGTACCTTCTGCGGTATGAGCGGACACACAATCGATAAGTGTTACAAGAAGCATGGTTACCCCCGGGGTGTGTGCCAGGCTACAAATCCAAAGCTAAGCAATAGGCTGCAACATCTGTTATGAATAACACATCTGACCTTGGAATAACCATTGATCAGTTTCAGAGGCTTATGATGGCTCTCCAAAGTCAGATAACATAGCCATCTACTTCAAACACTGCGGCAGTTGTCTCTTTGATTCCAAAGTTCAGCGAAAACTGCAACGAAGGCAAGTCTTCTACCTCACTTGTTAATTCCCTCTCGTAATGCAAATCTGTTTGGATATTAGACTCTGGTGCTACAGGCCACATTACTTGTTGCATTGATTCTTTTGATGAATATTACTTTGTTGAGGGAGAGGAAGTTAGTTTATGTTGGTCCCGATAGGGTGGTGAAAGTCTAGAGGGGGGGGGGTGAATAGACTTTCAAGCTTTTTCAAATTAAATAACTCTTCGGTAACTTCAACTCTAAGTAACAAGTAAATAGAGCATTTGTACTGCACAGCGGAATAATAGTAAAGAGTTATGCCCAACTAGTAAATTAATTGTGCAAGTATAAGTAAGATAGGTACAAATGATATGTAAAGTGACAGAGATATCTTGAATATATAAAGGAGATGGTGCACTCAATATATAATAACAATATTCAAGATTGTAAATAAATATCGTGTCACGTCGTCCGTGTGACGAATATTACATGCAGCACGTCAAACTTGCTTAGAATAAATTAGTATTTAAGCTCGAGAAGTTTGAGTCACATGCATACGTGAGAACACACTAAACCCGGATGATTAAGATTAACTGTGAATAGTAAACGGGTTAGTCGGATGAGATAGATAGATATAGCAAATAATGTAAGTGCGGTATATAAATGAGAGAGGCAATTTATAGTGGTTCGGGAGTGGCGTAATCTTCCTAGTCCACTTTTCTCCTTTCACGTCTAGGAGAAATTCACTATTTTCCACACACAGTTACAATAGTGAACAAGTGCTACACAGGCACTTCTTCCGGATGTCTTGCACACAGCTACACCCTGCTCCGAGTGTCTCGCACACAGCTACACTCAACTCCGAGTATTTCGCACACAGCTATACTCAACGCCAACTAAGTGTCTTGCACACAGCTACACTTAGCAACTACGAGTGTTTTGCACACAGCTATACTCTTTCTACAATTTACAAATACAAGGATTTGTATTTCTCTCTCCAACTAGATTTGAGACTATTCAGACTAAGTCTCTTAGAATATTTTGAGCACTAGCACTTTTGAATTTTGCACTTGTATTGCACCTCTATCTCTCTTCTCTTGTCTTCAAGTCTTCATGGCTTTTTATAGATAATCAAATATATCCGTTGGAGTGGGATAATTTGATATTTGAATTTTGAATCTTCATAGCCTGATATTGTTGACAGTAGTAGATCTTTAATTTTGATTTGATTTGTCAACTTGCCTGACAAAGTAATTCTTTAGCACAACTTTGATTTTCTAGTTGTTTCTAAAAATATTACTTTAATTGTCAATTTGAATATCCAACGAATCTTTGAAATAAATTCATCTGATAGAATTTATTTAGAATTTATTTCTAGGATAAGTTTTTATATTCATGCCTTCATAAATATTTTTCCGTTCTGATCAAATGTCTTTCAGGCAATTTTGGAGTCTTGTGGCATGTGGGTGGACTTGGAGTAAATTCCTTCGAATTTATCCAATTTCTGATCATCTTGCTCTTTTGCCACATTGTGCTCCTTTGACTTGAACATCGTGCTCCTTGACTTTGAACATTGTGCTTCTTTCGATACATTGTGCTCCTTTCAGATTTGGTCACATTGTGCTCCTTTAGCACACATTTGGTCACATTGTGCTCTTTTAGACACATCGTGCTCCTTCAAAATCTGCCTTATAAAAAACATAGGTCCTTAGGGGGAATCGATCTCGGGTGTGATCGTTTACAGTAAGGACCTCTACCCTTTCGCCGTTAGGCTCATCCGGTCATTCCTTGCAACGCCATTGCTTTATGCTTCTTTCACGGATGAATACTCGTAGGACCAAAATTAATTTCTCAAATTAATTTTGTTCTTCCTATGGTAGATTCCTTCTGATTTCAATATTCTGATTTATGATGCTTGTACTAAAGACTTAAAAACTAAGGGGATCTAAAGATACATTTGGCTCATCAAAACTTACAAAAATATTCCTATCAGTTTACCTACAGGTAAACGGATTACTGTTAGACACAAGGGGAACATCAAACTTGGCAATAACCTTTGGTTAAAAGATGCCATGCATATCCAGATTTCCACTTCAACCTAGTGTTAGTAAGCAAATTGCTCCAAGACATACATTATAATCTGATTTTTTTCCCATGGACAGTGCATGATTCAAAGTCCTTGTGGGATAATGGCTGGTTTGGCTAAGCAAGAGAGTAGGCTGTATATAATGATGAAGCCACCAATGTAGTCTAATACTAGTCACAAAAGGATGGTTATGCAATGTAATAAAGTTGAGATATGGCATCAACGTTTAGGACATTTTCCTATGAATAAACTGCATTTACTCAAAGATATTCCAAAGTTATCTTTGAAAATAAAGCTTGTGATGTATGCCACTTAGCTAAGCACAAACGATCACCATTCCCCTTATGTGCTTCAATATCTAATGCATGTTTTGATTTGATACACACTGACATATGGGGTCCTTTCCCGGTTCCTTCAATGAAAGGAGAACAATATTTCTTAACTTTGGTTGATGATCATTCAAGGTACACTTGGTTACATTTGATGAGAAAGAAATCAGAAATGAGAGAGCTGATAAAGAAGTTTCATAGCCTTGTTTTCACACAGTTTGGGGCGTTAATCAAGATGATTCGAAGTGATAATGGCACTGAGTTTGACATGAGAGATTTCTTCACAGACAAAGGGATCATTCACCAAAAATCCTGTCCGTACACTCCCCAACAAAACGCCGTAGTTGAGAGAAAACATCAACACATTCTCAACGTAGCTAGAACTCTCCGTTTCCAAGCTCAACTTCCTCTTGAATTATGGGGAAATTGTGTTATGCATGCAGTATTTCTGATCAACTGCTTGCCTTCACACGTGATTGAAGGATTCAATCCTTATTATAGACTGTATGGCAAAGAACCAGACCTTACAATGCTTAAGGTGTTTGGTTGTCTATGTTATACTTCCACTTTGTGTCACCAGAGAGGGAGAGAAACAAGATGAAACCAAGAAGCTGAAAATGCATCTTTATAGGTGTACCAGCCAATGTCAATGGGTATATACTCTATGATCTGCTCGATAAATCAACATTTATATCTCGGGATGTAGTGTTTTATGAGATGCAATTCCCCATGTCTGAAAGTGCCAAACAGTCTGCAAAGTTGTTTAATCCTCCTTTACCAAACATTTCAACAAGTTTGGATTATGATGATCGACCTATGGAGAATGATATGCTGTCTAGGAATGTTGAGCAGCAGAAAACAGATGATCCAGTTGGCAGCAACAACCATAACATACACAATGATGAAGCTCCAGCTAACCAGTCATCTCATGTGTCTTCATCCACTAACACACGAGATGAAACTCAGCAATAGCATGAGGTTGTGCCCATTGAAGAAATTAATGCAGTTGAAGAGACTGTAACTAAAGTATCTTCTATGCCCCTTCGACGATCAAGCAGAAACAGACATATGCCCAGCAAACTGCACGATTATTACTGTGATTTGGTTATAAGACAGGGATTTTCTCCACATACCTTATCTAAGGTAGTTTCTTATAGTGGTCTATCATCCTCACATAAGGCTTTAACCATGGTTGTCACCTCCATAGCAGAACCACGAACATATAACCAAGCAGTCAAGCAAGACTGCTGGAAAGAAGCCATGCAAGCTGAGATCACAGCCCTCCAACAGAATAATACTTGGCAGATTACAAATCTCTCAGCTGGAAAAATCCCGATATGCTGCAAAAGGGTTTACAAGGTGAAACTTAGAGCTGATGGAATGGTGGAGCGATACAAGGCTATATTAGTGGCTAAGGGCTACACATAACAGTTGGCGGTGGATTACATAGAGACCTTTTCCCTGGTAGCACGGTTAACAACCATTAGAACTTTCCTTGCTGTGGCTGCCTCTCATAGTTGGCATATTCATCAGATAGATATCAACAACACTTTCCTTCATGGTGATCTTGATGAAGAAGTTTACATGGTCTTACCCCCATGAATCCAAACAGACAAGCCAAATCAAGTTTGCAAGCTGTCAAGGTCAATCTATGGTTTGAAGCAAGCTAGTAAGCAGTGGATTGCCAAGCTAACTAATGCTCTTCTTCATGTTGGCTTCAAATAGTCCATTGCAGATCCTTCTTTGTTCACCAGAGGCAGTGATGACAGTTTCATCGCGTTGATAGTCTACGTTGATGACATCCTAGTGGCAAGCAGTAAAATAGCCCTCATTCAGCAGATCAAACACTTACTTAATGCAGCATTTAAGATCAAGGACCTGGGTGTCCTAGGCTACTTCTTAGGTATGGAAGCAAAGCTTAGCAATGAGGGACTGAATTTGTGTCAGCGAAAATATGCTCTTGACATTTTCAGTGATGCATGTTTACTTGAATGCAAGCCAGTGCATACAACAATGGTACCGGGAGCACATTTGTTACGAGGGGATGGGGTACCGTTAGAAGATCCTGCAAGCTACCGGAGACTGGTAGGGAGACTCTTGTACCTCACGGCTACAAGTCCAGACATTACTTACGATGTACATCAGCTCAGCCAGTTCGTAAGCACTCCCACAGACAAACATATGGCTGCTGCCCACCGTGTGCTCCGTTATATCAAAGGATCCCCTGGACAAGGGCTGTTCTATCCAGCCAACACCACACTCACACTAAAGGCCTTCTCCGATTCTGATTGGGCTTCATGTCCTGAAACTCGCAAGTCGATAACCGGGTTCCGCGTCTTTCTTGGTGATGCTCTTGTGTCATGGCGTTCGAAAAAGCAACCTACAGTTTCCAGATCTTCATCTGAGGCGGAATACCTTTCTTTAGCCGCTACTGCCTATGAATTACAGTGGATAAACTCTTTGGTTCAAGATCTTCACGTCAATCTAACCAATCCTGCTCTTGTCTTCTGCGACAACAAATCCGCGATTGCCATATCTGAGAACTGTGTTTTTCATGAGAGGACTAAGAACATTGATATTAACTATCATTTGGTGAGGGAAAGGGTTGCTCAAGGGTTGATAAAACTGATGTCTGTCTCTTCCCTTCATCAAATTGCAGATGGCTTCACTAAGCCCCTAGCTGCTTCTCTTTTTGATATGTTTGTATCTAAGCTGGGTGTACAAGATCTGCACAGCCCAGCTTAGGGGGGGGGGGGGTATTAGAGGGAAAGAGGAAAAGTTAGAAGGGCATTCTTGTAACTTTCTTACCTTGGCCGTTATAACCGCCACCCATGTATAAAACATGCTCTCATCTTTCTAATGCAAAGCAATTTCACTTTTCACGTTCTAAACCAGCTTTCCTTATACTTTTCAATCTGTTCTTCCACTTCACGAAACAATCAGATTCAAGAATAATATTGCTACAATGTTGACCTTTGAGCCAGGGTAACGCCTCCTTGACCGCAATTGCCTCCACCATGAAAGGATCGCGGCTGCCTTCAATACGCCCATTCCTAGCTGCCACAAATCGTCCGTCTTGGTCACGTACAACAACTCCATAACCAGCCCCATTCGAGAAGGTGGCAGCATTTACATTGCAAAATTATTCTTCTAGTTCTTCTTCAACATCAACATTCTCAACTTCACTATTTTAATCCATAGTATAGTGAGACATTGAATATACACTTACAAATATTTTATAATTTCTATTGATACATTATTTATAATTTAAAATAAAAGAAAAGGAAAGAATTTCTAATAACAAAATAGTTGAAATAAAATACATAACAAATAGCATTATTCTAGCAGAGTCCTAGCTTGTCTTTGGTGGCAATATCAAATTTAGTCACAGATTATCATTTTTATCATTTAACATCTCGGCCTATATCATATTTTGGACACTTTTGATCCTTTTGATGACTTTTTTGGTAAAACTTTATTTTAGGCAAGGGTATTTTTACCTCTTCAATTTTTTTTGAATTATTTTTTCAATGAGTTAATTCTAGTGGGGGTCCCTTGTCTTTGAAAACAATTCTAAATTTAGTTCCAAATCATTGTTTTTGCTATTTAACACCCTAAGCTATCATATTTCGAAAACTTTTAGTCCTTTCGATGATTTTTTTCGGTGAAAGTGTGAAACCCATTTTTAGGAAATGGTATTTTCTCTTTACAAAGAAGAGTTTTTTTTTTCTTTTTTTTTTTTTTTTGGCTCTACACCTATAGTAGATGATTTACATATAATCATGGACTAAAACAATGATAGTCAAACTAAAGCCAACAAGCTGGCGACATGTTGAACTTTCTAATTGCGTTGCAAAATGATTCACCCGCACCCGGAGGTCCTCACGTACTTGGCATCACCATTGACAAATGATGATTTGGGGTGTGGTTGAAAGAGTTGAAGATGAGCCGGGTGAAGGAGATGGTGCAACCCACGGCTGAAAGGATGACAATTAGGATAAAAATCAGCGCAGAAAAATAGAAAACAAAATGAAGAGATAAAAATATCATTACCTAAAATTGGGTTTCACCGAAAAAAGTCATCATATTCATTAGATTAAATGTAAAATAACACCCTGTAATTTTTAATCTAAATTATTATTTACCATTTCTTTTTTTTTTTTTTGCAAAATCTTCATTGTGTTCATATTTATTAGATTAATAGTAAAATAACGTGTAGAAATAATTTTAGAACATTACGGCTTCTTGAATTACGGATTTTTTTTTCTACTTTTCCTTTTTATTGCTAACCTTATTATTATTAAGTGTTTGGGTGGGAAGTTAAAAATGAGGATTTTGTTTTTAATAATAGTATTGATTGATTAGATTAATATATAGTAGCATTCAAAAAAAAAAAAGATTAATATATAGTAAAATAACACCATGTAATTTTAATCTAAATTATTAATAGCCAATTCTTTTTCATTTTTTTGTGCAAAATATTCCTTATATTCATATTCATTAGATTGTTAGTAAAATAACGCGTATGAATAATTTTAGAACATTATGTCTTCTCGAATTACAGATTCTTTTCAATTTTTCCTTTTTTACTGCTAACCTTATTATTATTAAGTGTTCAATTCGGACAAGAAGTTAAAAGGGATGGTTTTATTTTTAATAATAGTGTAGATATAGATTATTAGAAACAAATTTTTTTTTTCCATTTCTTTCGCAAAAATCTTCATTAGATTCATTAGATTAATATTAAAATAACGACCTGTGATTTTAATCTAAATTATAAATAAACGATTCTTTTCTAGTTTTTTTTTTTTTTTTAAAAATATTTCTTATATTCATATTCATTAGACTTATACTAAAATAACACGTAAAAATAATTTTAGAATATTATGGCTTCTCGAATTAAGTATTCTTTTTCATTTTTCCTTTTTTACTGTTGACCTTATTTATTTTTCCTTTTTTACTGCTGACCTTATTATTATTAAGTGTTTGGACGAGAAGTTAAAAATGAGGATTTTGCTTTTAATAATAGTATTGATTGATTTAATTTAATTTAATTTTAGAATTTACTTTGAAAGAGGATTTGAATACAAATTAAATTAATAGAGCAATATTAATACAAATTAATTGGTATTAATTTCATACTATTTTTCTTTTTGAAATCTATAAACTCTATTACAATGCAATATATGTTCATGACTACTTTCTCAACCTACTAAAGCATAGTGTGTTAATAGCGCTTCTACTGAGGCTTGAACTCACAACCTCCAATGTGGGAGTTCAACTTGGTAACATTGATAATAAATCATACTAATTTAATTGCTTAATTCATAAATACTAACAAAAGATGTAAATACTAGTTTGAAGAGGATTTGAATTTTGATGAATTAATTGCTCTGCAGATGAGTTAAAAATAACTTTAGTTAAATCTCGTTAACCGAATCAGACAAACAAAATGAGACGCAGGGAGTATATCATAATAATAACTCATAAGACAACGAAATATTTGAAATAGTTAACATTTTTTTTATGCGGATGCAATTATTAACGTTATATTTTGGAGAATAAATGATTGTATGGCCTGGTCCCTTACTAATTATTAATCATTATGTTGTGTAACCATGTGCACCATGCATGGTGCACATGTGTCTAGATTCATAATTTTTATTTTGTAGATTCATAATTTTTATATTGTAGATTTATAATTTTATAAATAATGTTCATAATTAAAGAGCTATATGTTCATAATTTTCGATGTTTATATTCCCAATTGTTGAACTGTGTATTCACAAATCACATAACTTTATGTTCATAATTTGATAACTATACAGTTTATAAATTATGAATCTACAGTACAGAAATTATGAATCTAGTACAGATATTATGAATCTGCAGTATAGAAATTATGAATCTACTGTATTTAAATGATGAATCTATGGTTTCGAAATTATGAATCTACAGTATAGATTTTATTAATCTACAATATATAAATTATGAATCTAGACCCATGTGCACCATGCATGGTGCACACGGTTGCACATCATAACAATCCCGTCTTTTAGCAAATATCATCGTCGGCCTGATTTAGACATATGGTGTATTTGGTTCGCACATGAGAATCAGAATCGAAATGGGTATCAAATACTTGGTAATGGATTTTGACGAAAGTATTTTACATGTTTGGTAGTAGGATGGATTGAGAATGATTATCAATAATGGTAATGATTTTGGTGAAACTCTTATAAAATAAGAGAATGAGTTTTTCAATTAATGGGGTATTCCAAACCAATAGTAGTGTTTTAAAACCAGTCAACCAATTAATAACAATCACTTTCATATCAATTCTTGAGTGATAAACCTGTTAACCAAACACACTCATAGTAATCATATAATGCTCCTTGGGAACAAAAATAATATGAGACTTGAAATGCACATGTTTTGTGGAGAGTGTTGACAATACACATAATGTAAAATAATAAGTGTAATGTTGATGCATATTATCAATTTATCATTAGAACATAACAGATGACACTAGAACATACAGACAAAAAGTTTTAATTTCAAAATTCAAAATTATTGATGCATATTATCATTATTAATAAATTATTAAGGTTTTAGGCAATTGGCGTACTAATAATGCAAATAAAAAATGTAGATTATCATCCACCGGCCGCCCACCGCTACGTATTCGCAAAATTGGCAAAATTCGCAGCCAGCAGCCGCGCGAGGGCATTAGAAAATTAAGATCACAAACTTATCCATAATTCTCTATGCCGATAGAAAAAAACGAGGAGCGCGAGCGCTTTCGTTTGATTTTTTATTTTGTTTGGAATCTCACGTTTTCCATTGTATATGCATGGGTGAGAGATGTATATAAAGGCAAAGGAATATGCACGTAGCTTCACCACCACAACATCTAAACACAAAAGAAAAAGAAGAAGAGATCAGAGAATTGAAGGAAGATGAGTGGCATTGCTGAAAGATGGAGGGTTCTAAGTGGTAGTGATAACTGGGAAGGGCTACTGGACCCTTTGGATTCGGATCTCCGCCGCTACCTCATTCACTATGGAACCATGGTTTTACCTGCAAGCGAGGCTTTCATAAACGAAGCAGCTTCAAAAAATGTGGGATTATCACGATATGCCAGGAGAAACCTCTTTGAAAATACAGGACTTGTGAAGGGAAACCCTTTCAAGTATATATATATATATATATAATTTCTTTCTTGAATTGGTTCTATAATCATATCATTCAGTTCCAGTTCCATCATATATATATATCACCATGTACTACTGTATATATGTTTCAGATATGAAGCCACCAAATACTTTTATGCAACATCTGGATTCCCAATCGGAGATTCAGGGTATACTGTGAGGCCAACCCGAGCGGATGCAGTGCTAAAGGAAACAAACTGGAATGGATATGTTGCTGTGGCCACTGATGAAGGAAAAGTTGCTTTAGGACGAAGAGACATTCTGATCGTTTGGAGGGGAACAATCCGAGTGTCAGAAAAGATTACTGATATCACATACGTTTTTGTTAAAGCGCCATTAATCTTTGGCCAAAACTCTGACCCTTTGGTGCATAGGGGTTTTTACGATATGTATACCACCGCCAGCATTCAAGATGCTCAACTCAATGGAACCAGTGCCCGAGATCAGGTATAATTTTTATTTTTATTTCATTTTAGTGCCTTTTTGGCATTATATTCACTGCTAGAAATTATGAAATTTTCGACCACCCGCAAAAAGTGGTCGTAAATAGCAACAAAAGTTGTTCGGATACCAAAAGTGGTCGGAAGGCTTTCAACTTGATTTAAGATCACTTTCAGGTGGTCGGAAATTTCATAATTTTCAGCAGTGATTGTAGAATTCGAGTTGAGTTGTCTTTGTTATGTATATAGATTCGTGAAGAAGTTGCAAGACTTGTTGAGTTATACAAGGACGAGGAAATTAGCATAACCGTGGCAGGACACAGCTTGGGTTCAGCCATGGCAACACTAAACGCAGTAGACATGGCTGCCAATCCAATCAACAATAATAAAGATATTCTTGTCACTGCTTTCTTGTATGCAAGCCCCAAAGTAGGGGATGAGAATTTTAAGAACGCCTTCTCTAATCAACAAAACCTTCGAGCCTTGCGAATCTCCGACGTCAATGATGGTGTTACAAATCTTCCTCCACCTGCACCTATAGATGGTAACATACTGCCATTAATACCTTACGCAGATGTGGGGGAGGGTATTGCAATTGAGTCTAAGAAATCCGAGTATTTGAAGCCTGAAATTGATAACCTGTTAACTCACGACTTGATACTTTACATGCATGGAATTGATGGATACCAGGGGTCTCAGGGAGGGTTTGAGCGTCAAGGTTACTTTGACCTTGCCAAAGTTAATAAGTACCAGGGTGCTTTGAAAGACGAGTATCATATACCGGCGGCATGGTTGAACATAAAAGATAATGGAATGGTTCAGCAGGAGGACGGAACTTATATTCTTGATGATCATGAACCGGATGAGACGTTTTAAACACAAACTGTTTCGTGTATGTGTGTTTGAATAAAGTCTTCTATATATAATCAATTAGTAGTTAGTGTGTTTTGAATAAGAATGGAGCTGAGGCAACTAGCTAGCAGCTTGTACGTGGCTAGCTGTCTAGTCCAATGCATGTGTGCTTGTATTTGAATTATATATTATGTCGCAATCATCTTTCTTCATCAGCAATATATATAATATAATAAAAGACTTGAATTATATTGCTTTGCTCCATATATATTGAACAAGGTTTTTTCTCTTATTGAAACCAACTGAAGAAATATAGAGAGAAAAGAGAAGGGAGAGAAACCATCTATGCTTCCTGAAAGCCTCCCGCAAGTTGGATTGTATAGATTATTATATTGAGCAATCCTAGCTTGGAGACATAGCTGTAGAAAGAATTTGGACAATGAGCTTTGGTAAGAACATCTGTTTTAACTGATTTTTAGAGACAACATGAAAGAGTTTGATGACCCCATTGTGCAACTTTTCCCTGACTAGGTGACAGTTCATTTCAATGTGTTTTGTGTGCTCATGGAAGACAGGATTCACAGTCATTACTATTGCATATTTGCTGCCACAATAAAAAGTTGCAGGTGCATCAAGATATAGGCCAAATTCAGCAAATAAATAGAGTATCCATTGCAACCTTCAAATGGTATGAAAGAACACCGTTTATCAAATATCTTAAAATTTAATGTGTATGTTTTGGGTTTTGAATTTAGGATGCGTTTGGAAACCCGGAAAATGAGTTCCGAAAAATATTTTTCGAGTTTTCAGTGTTTGGCAAGAGGGGGGATGAGGTCAATTGAAAATGATGTATTAGTTAAAGGAAAATAGGTATGTTTTGGGGAAAAATGATGTATTAGTCAAAGGAAAATAGGTATGTTTTGGATGAAAATGACTTCCTTTTTTTTTTTGGGAGAAGTCATTTTCCAACACATGTAAATTTTTCAGGCCTAATTTTTTGCGGGCTTTTGCGAGTCGGCCCGCCAAACCAACGAACTAGGGTTCATGCAACCAAAGCCCGCCCCATACGAGTTGGCGGACCCCGCAAGCCGATCCGCGATATTTTTTTTTTTTTTTTTGAATTCAAAGTTCAAAATAATAATAATAATAAAGTCTACAAATAATATAATTTTTTTCGTATTTAATTTTTTTTAAAAAAAGTTATATTTGAAACAGTAGAAGATATATTACTGTGTAGCCACACTACACATTGAAATTGTAAGTGTACAATTTTAGTACCCACATTAAACATTTGTTGGCTAATTTATTTAGTCTCACCTGAATTAGAATTAATTAGTTTTATTTAGTTTAAAACTCCTGTTTTGGACCACCTCCTATCATCTAAGTTTTGCATGGCTATATTTTAATTGGTTGATTGGAAAAAGAGAAGTCATCAATGCAGTGAGTATTTGGAGGCATTCAAATAAAACATGTGGCTCTGAGTTAATGAAGAGGTTGGGATGCTAATATTAAGGATCAAGGTGATGAGTTAAACAGCTATAAAAGGAAGCCTCTCCAGAGAGGAAAGTTACCATTTTTGAGAACTGCTATATTGAGTGAAATCTACACAAGTGCTATTTAAATTAATCGGCTAAATTATATTATTATTATTGTAGTTCAATTTTGGTCTGCACAGATAGTACCTGGTACAGCTGAAGCTTCGGTTGAAGATCGTCATGGCATGCACGTACAATCCTGAGTAGATGTTAGGAAGGTGTTGTAGTGGTAAAGGCTGAGGGCCATTTGTACTTACCTCTTGTAATACTCCTTGGTGAACATCTATAGTGGATTGGACAGACGTGAGTTGCCCCGCAGACGTAGGAGAAGCGCTCCGAACTGCGTGATCAATCTCTGAGTACTTGTTTTATTTTTATGCTTTTTATATTTTGTTATTTATGTTCATTAAATAACCTAATTAATTGATAATTCAATATCTCTTCTAAAAACAAGTAGAACATTAAAGGTGTAATTGAATTCAAGATTCACGGTGCAATTTCAATTGGTATCAGAGCCTGCAGACTTAATTTATTAGTCTGTCGATCTGGCTATTCAGTGCATCTTGAACTCAAGCTTTCAGCGGCTTTTATTGCTTATCTTTATTCTGTTAATTTGTTCAATCTCACGGGTTGTTGAGTGTCACAGAATGGATCGTGTTAAGGTTCTTCCCCAGCTAATCGGCGACAACTACGCTTATTGGAAAGCTCGCACACGTACACATCTAAAAGCTCAAGGTGATGCAGTATGGCGGTCCGTGGTGACAGGTTGGACTCATCCGACTAAAGCCAGTACCAGTGATGATGGAACGCGAGTAACTAAACCTGAAACCGAATGGTCCCAAATTGAAATAACTAATGCTGGATATAACGATAAGGCCTTAGATACGATTTACTCCCTTATGCATGAAAGTCAGTTTTCTATAGTTGCAGGTATTGATTCAGCTAAAGGTGCGTGGGATGCTCTTGAGTCAACTTACGAAGGAACTACGTCAGTGAAACAATCAAAGGTGCAACTGGTCCAGTCCGAATTTGAAGAGCTTCGGATGAATGAAGATGAGACCATCACGAACTTTCACACACGCGTACAGGAACTGGCGAATCATGCGATGGTCATCGGTGAACCTTTCCCACAAGCAAAACTTGTTAAAAAAAATTCTGAGGTCCTTACCACCGAGGTTCAGAATGAAAGTCACGGCTATTCAGGAACACGACGGCTGGGAGAACAAAACTGTTACTCAATTAATGGGAAATCTTAGAACCTATGAAATTGAAATTTTAACTGATCACACAAAAACGAAAAAACAAAAAAAATAGCTTTTGCCACTGAAGAAAATAATGTTGTATCTGATACAGACGAAACTAGTGATGATACAATTGTCTTTTTGACTAAACAGTTTTCTAAAATTTTGAAACAGGTATCCAAAAATTCACTCAACAAAAATCCACAAAGAGGAGCAACATCGTCCAAAGCTGGTCCTAGGACAGGTGCATCAAACTTCAAACAGTCTGTCTCACGTCTAGGACAGTCCAAAGAAAAACCCAACAATAAAGGAATCAAGTGTTATGAGTGTGAATGCTTTAGACATGTACAAGCAGAGTGTGCTACCTACCTTCGACGCAAAAAATCTATGTCAGCCATTACCTGGAGTGATGACGAGCCTGATGTTGAAACAACTGGATCGGATGTTGAAGAAATCTCAGGTAACTTTGTTGCGTTTACAGCACGCGTTACTGGCTGTTCAGAATCTGTTGAAGGAGCTGACTCAGAAGGTGGTGAATATGTCTCCGCAAAAGACTTAGAGCTAAATACTTTATCTTTTGAAGTTGAATTTAATAAGTTGTATCCCAAATGGGAAGCCTTACGAAAAGCAAATCGCAAGCTAGCTAGTGAAACAGAGATTGTAACAAACGCTAGCAAAGTATATCAAACACAAATAGCTTCTAGGAATGTACTACTTAAAGAGGCTACTGATAGAGAAGAAGAACTACAAAACAAAGTACAGACTGAGAATGTACTCCTTGAGGAAGCAGCCGACCGAGAACAGAAACTGCAACAAGAAGTACAGACCTTGAAACAGGAGCTAAGCACCTACAAACAACAAATCCAAATGATGGACACCACTTCAACACTTGACAAAATCCTTGATTTTGGAAGAAAAACTTCTGCAAAATTCGGTTTGGGTTTCACCGGAAGCAACTCAAAAGAGAAAACAGTGTTTGTCAAGGCGTCCGGACCTGATCCAGAGGGTGTCCCTGAATCCAGCACAATGAAACGCACCCATGGTATAGTAAGACCAAATAAACTACATTATAAACTTTATAACCCCGTATGTCATTATTGCAGGTTACGAGGGCATACCAGGCCTGAATGCTACTACTTTTACAAGGACCAAAGAATTGAGAAGTTCAGGCACAAGAAAATTCAGCCCTTTACAAAACAAATTTGGGTTAAAAAGACTGACTATATCTCGTTTGTTTCGTTTCACTCTAAAAGTGCAGGAAGAGAAGAGAAATGGTATTTTGACAGCGGTTGTTCCCGGCACATGACAGGAAATGCCAATTTCTAAGTAACGTAAACACCAGTAAAGGTGAAGTTACCTTTGGCGACGGTATTAAAGGTCAGGTTACTGGGGTAGGCACACTGAATGTAGTTGGCTTACCAAAGTTGGACAAAGTTTTGCTAGTCAGTGGACTTCACGCAAATCTCATAAGTATAAGTCAACTATGTAACCAAAACTGGAACGTGTGCTTCACCAAAAACAACTGCAGTGTCCTGGACAAAAAAAATCAATGCGTTATGGAAGGTAAAAGGTCAATTGACAATTGTTATATTATAACTAACACATCTTCTGTTGCAGGACCAGCATAGATGAATCTGAGCTATGGCACCAAAATCTATGGTATCTGAGTTACAGACTACTTGATAAACTAACAAAGATAGAAGGTGTTACCCAAGATGAAAGTTGAATCAACCATTTGTGGTGCCTGCCAAGCTGGGAAACTGACCAAATCATTTCATCCAACTCAGCATACCATAAACACGAGTATTCAGCGCCAAAGGATTACCTCAAAAGTTCTGGGCATAGGCTGTAAACAATTCATGTCACATCATCAACTGCGTCTATCTTCGTCCCGGCACAACACAAACCCCATACGAATTATGGAAAGGTAAGAAGCCGAACATGACATATTTTCATATTTTTGGCTCACGATGTTTTATTTTGAAGGATGGAAATACTGTTGCAAAATTTGAACCAAAAAGCGACGATGGGATCTTTTCCGGTTATTCAACGAACATCAGTGCATATTGTGTATACAACAAAGTGACCAAGACCATCATGGAGTCTACAAATGTTGTAATTGATGATCAACCGAATGATATTGGTATTCACAACCTGAGTCAGTGACAGAATTTGAAACTACTGATCCTGAAACTCCTGAACCAGATCTAGAGTCACCTACGCCATCACCAACGCCATCTGAACCTGTCCCAGAACCAGAATCAGAATCTGACACTGATCAAGACGACATTGACATCCCAACACGCATCCACAATAGATCATCCATCTTCAAAATTAATTTTGCCATCATCTTTGGTGATAAGGTCTACAGGTTCATTACTCTCTAATTACTTTTGTTAATTCCTTGAATGTTTTTAGGGTGTTATTGTCTAATGTGTCTTGTGAAATACCTGCAAATATTCCTATGTCTAAAGCTA